TGCCATTAATGATTGCTTGTGCAAACGGACATCGATCTCGATGACAATAATTCTCCCATGACTCCACATCATAGAAGCTGACAGTGCCGAGAACTCCGATCTAACGTAGCACCCCGGGTTAAATTACGCGATTGCTACCTGAGTCGATAGTCCACATACTGACCCTAGGGATACAAAATATTAATCGTACGTTCTGTGATAAGTGCTGCGTGAATGTTGCTAGGAAGGCCAATGCGAAAAGCCGCTCATTATTGAAGACAAAGGTACTGGGGTTGGCATCCGCAGCAGTGGTAATAAGCTAGCGCAAGCTTTGGATGCTTCGTTCAATTTTCACAGGGTCGTAGCATCTCCAGCTGGTCACTCGTCTACGCCACCTTATCCAGAATACTCTCAGCAAGTTGGCCCAATAGCGATCTTGTTGCTTTCGCTTGAACCCACTTGTCTTTACTGAAAATGCTGCAACAGCTCGCCTTTTGTCGATGTTTATGAAGCAATAGTCACCTCTCTCGGCTGCACTTTAGGCCATCCATTTACTGCTTGTCTGTCCCAAAACAATGTTAAATACTTCCTTTGGTTGGAAATGTTTACCGGAAACATACGTTTGGATTGTTAACTCATTTTCTAACCTGTTTTAGCTCGTATGGATAGGCAAAAAAGAATGTCCTGCATCGCTTCGCTCAAACACCACTCATTTCACAACAATCGAAGCCATGTGGCAGAAGTTATTGCATTTTCCGCAGCCTTACTTTCAGATTTTCATCCAAGAACACCCGCCACACCTGCTCAACTACGACTGTGCTAGTTAAAACATGCCAAAGGCTAATCTAGTTGCTATATAACGCAAGGCCATCATCGACGAGAGGAACGTACGCAAAGGTTGCCGCGAGCGTGAAGCGTGATCCGACCACTATCAGCACAATATGGAAGCGCTACGTATATTCAGTGGAGGTAGGTATCATGGGAGGTGAATAGAAGAGCAGAATGAAGAAGCACTGCGGAAGAAAACGCAAGAATCGTGATGAAGTGCGCGAAGAACTGGCCCGTGTTCCCATCGAAGATAGAGCTGTTGAAAGACGGGCTGCAATAGTCGCTGGGGTTTCTAAACACTTGGTGCGGCAGGCAGTGAAGGAAGACATGCTCAAGCGCCGTACAACGCTCATCGAGCTTGCGTTGACACCCAAAAATAAGCTACAGTGTGAGGAGCATGCGCTGTCATTTGTCGATGACACGATGCTTGCATTCGAACCTATGCACAACATGGACCATGTTGATGACAAATAGCTCTATGCAGACCGTGACAAGCGCTCGTACCTGGTGTTTGACGGCGAGGAGCCCCCTCCCCGAGTCTGGAAGAGCAAGAGGTTCATTCCCAAGACGATGTTCCTGGCTGCATTAGCACGACCTCGATAAGTCTATATTTATAAATTTTGAGAAATATTAACCTCTTGCATTATATACAGATTTAGCAAATCAGCATTGCACATTAATATATCTATTCGTTCAGTGCTGATAAAAACCTCTTGGTTATCGTATGACCTATCAAAAAACCTTCCACTGACTACTTCCAACCAGAGGAAGTATTACTTAGAAGAACCTCGTATTTTTTATAAATTCATTAGTTTGCTTACCGGTAACAAGTAGTTTTTTGCTTTTTTTTAACACAAATAATTAAGTGTCCCTCAAGGCCTCTAAGTAACTCATACTAAAATATACTTCAAAAGTACTACTTTGATTTCAGCATTTCAAAATACCTGAAAGATAACAATCGCCTACCGTTACGGTAGGCGATTACCGTAGTCGGCTTAAAAATAGTAAGCAAGTCTTCCCTTCAGATGCTGTTTATTTTTGTTGATAAAAAATAAACTGCCTACCGAGATTTCAGCTTTTCATCAGCGAGACTACTTCAGTTCTTGTATTTAAAAGAACAATTTGCTTTCACCAAGTACAGACTCCGCCCAGAAACTGAAAACTACTTCCTGCTTATAACCTTTTAAAATCGGCTGTATCAGGCTTAGCATATTCAGAAGGCGATGTCTGTCTCACGCAAATGTGGTTCACACTAACTGTTTGAATTTCGAATCCTACCGCCAATTGCATCATTGCACGTCTTCGAGCAGAGCAGAACATGACGAAAGGCACAAAAGGTATCTGGCCAACTATCGACCAGAAGTGCAAGGTTATTGAAAAACATTGTCGCTGTCCCTCCCTGGCACTGTCCGAATTGGCGCGCTGGGCGCTACATGCGTTCGAGCTTTCGCACCCTCAAGCCGATGCTACAATCTTTAGGGTCCTGCGGGACGCAGCAATCATCAAGGCTAAGCTTCAAACTGCTACCACCGCTAAAGGACGGATATCTCGTGTACGCTGCCCGGAGCTTGAGATCCAGCTTGGCGAGTTTGTGATGGAGTGTCAGAGTGCTCATGCCTGTCGTTCTCGTCGGCTCATTACGAAGAAGGCCCAGCGTATTATGGCGAGCCTAAAGCACCCTCCTCCTCTGAAACTATCTGACGGGTGAATGTCGCGCTTCATGAAGCGTCATGGCCTTCGATTTCGAACCATGCATGGCGAGGCAAGGTCTGTGGACGCTGACATTATTCGCGAAGGGATGATGGCGATGCAAGATATTACTCGTCATTACGCGCTGCGAGACATGTGGGACATGGACGAAACTGGGCTCCTGTATCGCTCGGCAAAGACGAAGGGCGTATGCATGAAGAGCACTCCTGGTCTAAAGAAAGACAAAACGAGAATAACGGTGGCGTTGGCGGCTAACGCTGACGGATCTGAGAAGCGTCCAGTTTTCTACATCGGAACAGCTCTACGCCCTCACTGCTACAAGGGAAAGTATGGAGATGAACTCGGCTTCTACTACCGGAATAATACTAAAGCGTGGATGACGCGGACTTTGTACACGGAGTGGATCAAGTTATTTGATAGCGATATGCGTGCAGCAGGCAGAGACATTCTACTGTTAGTCGACAACGCAACGTCTCATGAACTTCAAAGCGGTGAGCTCACCAACATCACTGTGCAGAAGTTGCCGCCAAACACTACATCATAGCTTCAGCCAATGGACGCCGGAATTATTGTGGCAGCAAAGAGTGGTTATCGCGATAGGTACATGAGTTTGGCATGCGATAGGGCTGACAAGTCGATGCCAAACAAGGCTCCGGAGGGAAAGGGTATCTACTACGTTGACCAATTGCAAGGAATGAAGTGGGTTGACGAAGCATGGGACGATATCACTCCAGAGACAATTCGCCACTGCTTTATGAAGAGCGGGATAGTTTTTTCTGAGGAGAAGGAGAACCCCCCCCCCCCCCCCACGCGTCGACACCAAGTGAGAATGAGCGACGTCAAATAAATGTGAGACATTTGCATTGTGATATTACATATTAGGTACATAATTTATAACCTGGGGGAACTTTGAAGGTCCACCCTTTTCAGTTTCTGGGCGGAGTCTGTATATGTATCAGACGTCCATGACTTATCGACTTCGCCCACGTCCAACAGAGGAATATCCGCATGTTGCGCAACAATAACAACTACGATCGCTAGAAAAAAAAACGCAAAAAGGTTTTCTCTCTCGCTGCGTTCCTCTTCATTTTTTCTTCGCTGCTCACACAATTCCCACTCAACGTGGTCTTCAAGGCGACGAAAAGCTGTTTTCCACCTGGTATCCATTTCCCGAGTAGCTACTCTTAGGTGCTTAAACTCTGCGAGAAATCGTCTTGCTGCTCACCAAGTTTACGCTCAATTCTGCCTTCTGCTGGTGGAGCTGCTCATCGACGTATTCTTGCTGCTGATCATCCGGATTGTCTTGTACCGGCTCTTGTATCGCTCTCCTCGAATCTACAGAAAAACTTCCGACAACGGTGGAGTTGTTGACATGGTCTTGCAGCTTTGAGCTCGCGAATACGCCCAGTTTGTCATCCAGAGGCTTCAACTTTACCTGATTCCAACAAGTGTGGAGAGCATTCAACAATTCACTGATTATTGATTCCCTCCACAAGAAGATCTCGACGTGTCACATTTTGGAGAGAAGGTCTGGAAGAAGGTGATCACACATGTTCTTGTCGAGCAATGTCAGCGATTTATCCACCGCTACTAAGACCAAAGTCTTCCGAGTCGATGCCGGTGTCGTTGAGATCAACTGCTTGACCTGTTCAACTTGTACTGCTGCTACTTCAGTTGCAGTTGTTTGCTTGCTCTGTACCCATACATTAGCGAGTAATGCTTGTGCAGGAAGCCTGTTCGATTGATCGTACATGGCTACTTGATGCGTCATTATCGTTGGATTTTTTTCACATACCAGTTTTGTCAAAGCTGTCAGATTGATCTCGTCTTCAACATTCGTGTACAGTTTATTGCTCGCAGATAGCTCGTTGACGTTTAACAGCACAAAGCGCTGGTCACCAGCCACCCAATCAAGCCTCTCCATTGTACTCTGTCCCGTGTCCCTTTTAGTAACTTGTTGATCCTTCCACCCAGATAAACACTCTAAAAGTATCTTGGATGTTTTGCACGAAGCCAATCGGATACTTTAGAGCCTCTCTCGCGGAAGCTGTAGTACTGAACACTCCAGCCAGCAACGAAGTACAGTTTGACCCGGTCTATTATCGAGTTCGACAGCTCTCCTCCTACTGTAGAACAAGTGTTTTTTTTCCTGTCCCCAACGCTCCGTTATCGTCTTGTACGAAGTTTTCCAGCGTACGATGCTCGACGTTACTCTTTGGTCGTGGATCCCAGCCAGCGTCTCGAAAGGCATACACGTCCTTTAGATTTAACGTATAATAGGTTCCTCGGAACACCATCATCTCTCCTCCTGAACTTGCTAAAAACTCCGTCAATTTGTAATGGGAAGGATAGCTCTAACTGGCCTTGAGAATATTGTCCGCTGCGGCCTCGCATATGTGCGCGAACATCGTCCTTAGTTGAGTTAAGATCCTTTCAACTAAATGAGGGAAAGGGACTGACCTGTACCGGTATACTAGCTTTACTTAGGTATCTGCGAAGCACAATGCTATGATAACAACAGCGAGTGACGCTGTGAGCACACCGACCACATCCGCCCCAAAGCTGGCAGAGGAGAGCCACGCCGTTATCTTGTGAAGCACCAGTACCATAACAGCAGCTTTCCAGTTCTTGATACCAGAGGGAACTCCATTTTCTTTGAATACAAAGTCGATTGCATCCAACAGCGATGACTGATCTAGTGTGCCTTGACCATTACTGTTCGTGACATTGTCTCGTCGCCAGTGTGCAAGTTCCTCATCGAGTCGAGCTCTTTGATACTCTTCAACGTCTTGTTTAACCCGCTCCGACAACTCTCCGAGGTTAGACAACGCACTCTCCACTTCATTTGTACAACTCTTGACTCGTTCCTCGATTACTTGTTCATGTTGTTTACGATGAATTGTTGCAGTTTTCTGGTATTCTTTTAAATGTTTCTGGAACTCCTCGTCATGTTTACTGAGTTGATATGCAAAAGCTTCTTGTTGTCGTTGAAGCTTCGAGTGCAGAGTATCGTGTTGCTTTGTACGCTGAGCTTCCGAATCAGTTTCCATTTCTAAAACTTTCACCTGCAGCTCGTGAATGTACTCGTACAAATCTGATATTTTGTACTTCATCGGAATACTTTTCACTGCGTCAACCGCACGGGTAATCTCTAGCCGTGAACATCATCTCGTAGTCTCCTGAAATCTCCTTTATCAGGTTTCTAACCGAAGTATTCAAGTAGAAACACTTGAACTGTGTTGGATGTTCCAACATCAGTCGATCAAACACCTTGGAGTCTCTATCTCGAAAGCAATAGCAGTGGACCCTCCACCCAGCTTCGAAATATTTATCCACTCCAAGAAGTACTGAGCCCGCTAACTTTCCCGCAACTAGCACCAGCGTCTCGGTATTTTCGGGATTCCGCTTGGGCTTGGGCAGATGGCCAAGTGTTCGATACTGGGACGCGCTTTTGGGTCTCATTTCCCACGAAACGCTTCGACATCCTTAAGTTTCCGATAGGAATAGCTTCCGCTAAAAGACGTTGTCGCTTCACCACAGGATAGAAACGTGGTCAGTTTGTGCGCACTGATAGGGAAATGCTTGGTCAGTTCAGCGTCGGAGAAATCCTTCGAGTGCGCGCGCATGTACTTGCACACGTCCTGGTTCAAAGCATCCAGATCTGCGTAAATGTACCGAAAAGACATTGCTGTGTCTCTCCCGAGGAATTTAGAAATGACTGTGATGAGCTCCAAGAAATCGAAGGCGACCTTGTAGCCATGATCTTGGTTCTTATATTGTGGCCGAAATGGGATCAACATGCATTACGATACCGTTTCTAACGGGATATAGAGGGTTAAAGCCTCCTGTTTCTATCACTGATTCTACTTTAATTTTTCACGTGAGCTTCTTGGCGACACTTAGGTCGATATGCACCAAACGACAAGTTCCGAAGAGTCGTTCAGGTAGTTCCTCGGGGTTCTGGCCTTCCAGTACGAAGCCCATGTCGATCACCAGTTTCTTAGTGTACCCTGACACCAGACCGACCACGCGGTTGGCCACCGCTGATGACCCAATGTCCACGTCCAACTCGAAGTACTGTTTGCCTCTAAAGTACGGTTGACGCAGCTTTTTACCGATCAAAGCTGGGGTAGAACCCACAGCTTGACGCACGATGAAGCTTCCCTCTACGATGCAGGGAATGAGCTTGAAGCGCTCGTTACGGAACTCGTCGGAACCTTCCAAAAAGTCCGCCATAAGCTCCGAAGAAGGCGAGCCATCGGTCAATATCGAAGGGTGGGGAACTTGGTAGTACAGCACCAAGTTGATGCGCGGATTACCCGGCACTACAAAGTTAACCACGAAGGTAAATGGCATCTCTGTTCCTTGCTCTTCATGACGTCGCAACTCGCGTTGAACCGAGTTGTCTGGACGCGAAGCGATGTGTTCTACCGCCTCTGAAGACTCGAAAAGGTCCAATCCCACCAGACGGAAGAACGGAGATTGCGACGGGATCTTCCGTCGGTCGGTTATGTAGTCGGGACCGCGCACCATCATCGCTGCGCCGTCCGGCTCGGCCCACATAGAGCGCGGTACATTACTCGGGAACTCCTCGAGCCGAGAAACCGGAGCTTCAGTGTCTGTAGCATTAGTGTCTCCCTGGACTGAAGTGTTCGCCTGCTCTTCCGTTGACGCTGCAAGAGCCGCTGAGAACTCTTCCGGGACATTCGGACACACGTATTTACGCGCTTCCATGACGTCTCGGAGTCCTGTTAACGCTAAAACTTGTGGTCGTACATACAAGTGCATGATGTTTAAACGTTGTAGCAATTGACCTTCCCATCCCTGAGGGTCCAGATGCACCACGTTGGTGACCAAAGAGGTTAACTCATCTCCTTGGGTGACACTGGGTGAAATGATAAAACCTCCACCCTTGCATGTTGCCCGTACTAGTCCATGCATTGGAGGACACTCGGGATGTAAAGCACTTTGCATACAAATGACATAAGATCCATCTTCCGCGCGACGCCAATACCTCAGCAAGCATAAATCCCTCGGTGCCAGCCATCTATTTTTAACATGACCCGTTAGAAGTGAATAAAACCCAGATGAAAAATCCATCACGGTACTTACAGAGGCCACATCCACACAGGTCTGTAGACGATGTGGATAATATCCGAGTGGTCATCAATCGTGTGCACGACCTCCGCCCTCTCCACTGATGCATCCCAGACCGGATAATTCTTGATGCCCATCAGGTACATAAAGATCTCGGACGGCGAGCCATCCACCACTTGCAGCGTCTTAAAGCACGGTACTGCACTCTTGGCTCGAGCATTGGACAGCGTCCAGAGCGCTGCAGTCACTACCAACAGCGTGAGTAGTAATGACACGACAAAGCCACCGCCGCCGATGTGTCCGGCTAGAAACGTCACCAATCCAGCGGACGCAGTGGACAGCAGCACATTATTCAGCGGCTCCGGGCCGTTGTCGGTGTCTTTGGGCTGCTCTTGCCAGATCTGGAGGCCAGCGAACAAGTCCACGACTCTCCAGGAGGCGGCAAACATGGCCCAGGACCGTTCCAGTTCGCTCAGAAGCTTTACGGTACTGGGGACATCAGAGGGCGCCGCATTATAAGTGTGCAGGTTCGGAACGGACGCCCGCGCGTGAGGACGCAGCGCCGGCTTCGGTGGCAGGAACGTCGTTTGGATAGCTGTAAGCATGGAGGGGGAGCCAGGCGCGGCCGTGGGGCGAGGAGAAGCTTGGGGGCTGACACTGGTCATGGACTTGTCGGCGCGGCGACTTATGACCGAGTCCTCCCGAGATTCCATCATCACAATAATGACGGTTATACTGTAGAGTACTCTGGATAAGTAATTTTATTATCTATACCCTTATGAATCGGATGCATTGTTTTTCATTGTCTTAATGGTCTTTTTGAATCAGTTGAAATAACCTTTCATAATATATGGTTGGGGTATAGGATCGGAAACTGTACACGAATGTAGGTTAAGGATGTCCATGAGACATCGGGGTAGATGGTAGTCTGTGACATCATCAATAAGCTCGGAGCTCTTCAACTTGAAGCGGCTGCAACGTGTGTATTATGCAGGTAGGGTCAAGTCGACCGGTAGAGAGTCTACAGTCTAGCGGCGGTGGGTTTGTTGGTGGCTCGCTCCGGGAACAGCGGCATCTGCTGCTTAAACACAGCGACGTCGTCGATCACCTTGACCTGATGACTCCTCTCCGTCTCCACCTGGTGCTGCAACAGCATCGCCGCAGTCAGACCGGTGGACGTGACGGTAGAACGCGAGCTCGCGCCCCCTACCAGCACCGGGAATGGGTGCTTAGCCCCATACAGACAGATGCTGAGCTTGCTCCGTCGCTCGCCGTTAACAGCGATGAACGAGTCGAAGAACGACACGAGGTCACGAGGCTGTAGAGTCGACACCACCGCAGCCACGCGCTGTCGACGGTCGAACACGAACGTCTCGTTGGCGATCTCACGCCACGCACGCATGGATTCCTCCATCTCGTGCTTGGGTTTCTCCAACAAGGCCTTCACAACAGCGTTCACTTGTTTCTGCCACGTTTCTAACGACATTTCCGCAATGATCGATCGGAATCGAGCCACAAACAACTCGATACGTTGGTCCAGAAGCTGTGGAGACGCCACGTCCGATTGAATCAGGATACGGAAGTAGTCGACGCCCTCGATGCGTAGAATCCCCGAGAAGACGAGATACCCGAGCTGTTCCTGAGTGCGAAGCTGATTGAAACAAGGTTCTTTGAAAATGTGCGCAAAGAGCTCGAGACGCGCACGTAGAGACATCGTACTGCCGTCCGTCTCGCAGTCTAGTTGGTACAAAGTGCAGATCGCCGAGTTGAGGTTGGCTTCGTTCCATTCTCGACGTTGGAAGCGATACGCCTCGGCATCGGCGAGTTGGACGACCCGCGGCTTGGTCACTTGACTGGCAAATAGAGGGAAACTGCCTTTTCTTTTCCCGAAGTTAAACTGCTGCAACACTTGTTGCATCAATGCTGGAGCGGCGTTTTGTTGCAGATTCCCGTACAAGAATCCCTCAACGAACACTTGCTGGAAGACGAACTGACTGTGAGACGCTAGATCACACAATGTGAGGTGTTCGATAGCACGGATCTTGTCGTCCACGCTCCACTTCGAGACCTCCAGCAGCTGGCTACCGACGTGAACAGCGTGTTGGTACGGTTCTTCCAGGAAGTAGTTCTCGTACATCCGTTTCGTACGGTCTTTCACACGCTCAAAGACCGCGTCTTCGTACTTGTACTCGGCTCTTGTCATCTCTAACATTTGCTGGAGGACCTTGAACAACAACGTGGGTAATTTGTGGGAATATCCCCCGACATGCAGCTCCAAAGCACGGGAGTTAAAGCCGATCTCGTACTCCATCCCAGCGAGCTCAGCATCGTAAGACACCTCCGTCAGTTTGTCCTTCAGAAACCGTACGAATAAACTCGTGAGGACTGCGTGGTATGGAGTGGTCGATAGAGAAGGCGAGTAGAACAGGAAGTGCATCATCATCTTGGGTTTGCGGAACTGAATGTCCGGTTTGTACCAAAGACGGCACTGTTCATCGTGTTGTAGTAGTATCGGAGGAGACACAGTCGTATCGTCACCAATAGCTGAGCGAGGAGGAGTCACAATACGGAAGTCACTGCAGATGAACTCGTTGCGATGAGGGAGCTTCAGTGCCACGTTGAGTGCAGGCGACGTCCAGCGCTGAAGCAACTCAGCATCGATAGAGCCCTCTGAGTACGGAGTCTGGTACCATTTCTCCACACACTGAGTCTTGCCTTCAAACGTCTTGCTTACTACGGTAAGACGCATGCGTTGCGGAGTAAGTAGGTCCAGTATCTTTTGGACTTTATCACCATCGTATTCATACAGAAGGTAGCCACCGGAAAGGATGTACTTGGGTGGATAGCGATGCATGACGTTCGCTAAGTGGCTCGTGTAGTTGATGGGACTCTCTTTGCTCTTGAAGCGGAAGTTTTGCAGTGCTAGATCTTGTGTCTCGTGGAAGATCCAGGGCTCAAAAGGAGCTTCTTGCTGCAGCGTCTGGATGTACTGATACACCGCTTCAACGACGTCATTTACATGCTCGATGCCTGCATCTGTCACGTCGACTTTGACGCAGAATAGCCCCCAGTCTTCGTTGTCACGGAAGAGTCCAGCAGAGAGCGCATTTGCCCACTTTTGAGCCTTCAAGTAGCTCAGAATCGAGCCCGGGCCTTCATGACCCATTAAATGCGACAAGATCTTCGTGGGTTTTGTCAAAAAGTCCCAATGTAGCGACGGTAGCGGCCACGAGATGTCAATGACACGAAGGTCTTTCACAGGAGCTACATGCACCACACGAGCGAGTCTGGACTCGTCAAATGGCACTGCATCTCCGAACGTCGGGAAGGTTCGACCTGTGTTTTTAATTTCAGAGAACAGCTCCTCTGCCCAGCCTTTCAGAGTTGATAAACTCTCCTTGCCACAGATCACGAGCTTCATGATGCTGGCCGAGTAGTACGTGGCATGGAAGTCCAGCAACGCTGCTCGGACATCGATCCCTTTTTCGCTTGGGATCTTGCCCAGAGTCTCTAGATTCCCCGTACCGAACTTGTGGAACGGGTGATCCGGATTGGACAGCGATTTCTGCAACTGATATAGTCGTCGGTGGTCGTTTTGCAGGTTCTTGGCGTTCTCCGAGTTGACAGCGTTCATCTCACGCTGTGTGGCTCCAGGCGTGAACAGTGGGGCGATGAAGAACTGCGAGAAACGGTCCAGCGCTTCGTGGAGATGCTCGCTGAGCACGTCAAAGTAGAAATTAGTGTGCATTTGAGACGTCGACGCGTTGCTTCGGCCACTGTGAGAGCTTAGAAACTTCTTGTAGCTGTTCTCGTCCGGGTACTTGGCTGTGCCGAGGAACAGCATGTGCTCTAGGAAGTGGGCAAGTCCTGGGAGCTCCTCCGGATCGCTCTGGTGACCCACATGAACGTCCATGGCGGCCGCAGATTTCTCTGTTTTGGGGTCTGAAATGACCAAAACTTGCAGAGAGTTGCAGAGAGTGAAGCTCTCGTACTCGCGCTCGTCTAGAGCGGACACGTCCATGCCGTTAAGGGTCACGACAGACGCCATGTCAATATAGCGGATGCAAGTGGCGGGCAGTTATCGGACTGGTGAATGGTACGTCATCGGGTAAGGCATTAGAGAAACCCCACTTTAGTGACGTCAAACTTTGGATTTTTTTTAGATACGGATCCATTTTTCTGGTGCATTTGGGATGGGGAAGCCATAGATACCAGCTAGTTTTAAGATACGGTGAGGCAATTGCAGCGGTTGCTGTGTTTGTTCTAGCTCCATTACTGCATGACCCAACTTACTTGCTTACTGCACTGACATTTTGTACAAATTAACTGCACTGGCATTCGCTCGCATTTCGCCACTACAAATCATATATACATAATCTGTACAGATCTCTCAACGAACTGTACAGGGATACTGAACTGGCCGTAAATTGTGACCACCTTGACAAACCTCTTTTTTCTATGTGAGCCTCCCTATAAAGTGCAAGAAAATGCGAGCGTTAGGACATCCTTGCTATTTCAAAGCATGTTTTGCAACTTGTGTGAAAACCGCACCGTCAAATAATAAAAAATGACTGAGTTATGGGCCCTAGACGAGGTGGCCGAATAATTGTGTCCAGGAGTGTACTGCGTGCTACTACGTAGTGCTCGACTTTTGACGAGTTACTTCGCTGTTCCAGACTTCCCTGCTATCGAAATGAGCTCAAGGAAGATCAATACGACATTCAGTGATCGCGATGACGACACTCAAAGCTATGGAGTATTCGCAATACAAGAGGATACCATACAACCACCAGACGTACGCGCTGGAAAGACTACGAATGAGGCTGAGAGACCGGGGTGCCAACAAACACTTTTTGGGGTGAAATCAAAACGAGATGGGGCGCGAGCAAAACCAAAAAGGCTTGAGCAAAATAAAAGTGCCGTTTTGGTGCGTCATCAGACAGATTTGCGGGCTCGAGCAAAATAGATTGGTAAATTAGTAATGACGCAGATGACCACGTCTGCGAGTTAAAGTGAATCACAAGTCGCACCATACACCAACCATTCATAGCACCGTACTGCGTGGCCGCACTGCTCTGTGTGTTTATTCCTCATTCTACACGTCCGCCTACAGTGGGTGCTTATACTCTTTGTAGTGCAGCAATGCCGAGAATAGCATGGAGGAAGCTGGCGGAGCATACATCCAGTGACGGCTTTACAAAATTCCGAGCCGAGATGTTTTGCTGCTCTTCAATCTATGCGAAGCGTGAGATCAACTGTAAATATGCCCTGGTGATCATGCAATGCTTGAGCGGCGCATGGTATGCACGAGTCCATCCTGTGCCAAGAAGGAAGCGGTACTGGGAGGTACACAGTGTGCTGTACAGTGGAAAACATGGGAGTGCACGTCTCATTCGTCTTGGCACATCTACACGAACGACGAAAATCATTTGCGCGACGAAGCATGCATTGGTGCCCATCGTGTGCCTATAACCACAGAAATGAAGGAGTTTGTAACTCGAATGGATGCCTGTGGTATGCAAACTCGGCATATATGGAGCAGTCTTCGTCGCGCGCCAGACATACCGGCTTCGCCGTTGGGGCTGCCGTCACGACAACAAATTACCGATTGCGTGAAACGTCTACGAAAGAAGAGTTTGACGCGTAGCACACGGCAAGGTGTGAAGTCGTTGGCAAAGGAGTATCCTTACTACCCCGGAATCGACGCTGAAAAAGCTTTCCTGTTTGCTCCGGAACTTGAAGACGATGGATTTCCTCGAATTGGAAAAGGATCTGACGAGGACCCCTTAGTTGTGGGAATTTCTACTCTAAGCTTGCTAACAAAAGTTAACAAGCTCCGTAGTGATGACCACTTCAGACTTTTCCACACCGACGCTACTTTTAAGCTCACTGACCTGGGCTACCCAGTGATAACTTGTGGATTTACTGATCGATCGCGCACGTACCACCTTGCTACCATCCTGATAGTTAGTGCTAGAACTCACCGAGAGTACGAATTGGCATTTGGATGTTTTGCAAAGCTGTACCAAAGGATATTTGGGCTTCGCTGCGCGTGGATGCTATCATGGGAGACGCAGAAGACGCACAGCTGAACGCGTTGCGAAACGTTACAGTATTTAGCGAAAGCAAATACTTGATGTGTTTTTTTCATGTGCTTTATAACGTGCACAAGCGGACAAGACACCTTGAAACAGGCCCGGGGGTTTCCGTATTTTCAGGAGTTATGGATATGCATTTTACGACAAACTATACAGAGTACTGCAGTGTGAAAGATCGCGTTATTTCCGAGTGGAGAATGGAACCATGCCTCAAAGCGTTTGCGGATTACTTTGAAGAACAGTGGATTGAAAGCCGTTTTTGGAGATGGCAGATTTATCACTCTCCATCTAGTTACGCTACGACAAACAATCCCTGTGAAATATTTAACGCCACTGTCAAACGTCATGTACAGCGGAAAGCTTCCGAAATTTGCACGTTGATCCGAAGTATGATTACTCTGGCTGAAGATGTAGGTTGTGATGTTGCCTCTCCTTCAGCATCTATCGCCGCACCCAATCCCGAAATCAAACGTACGGCTAAGTGGATGTTGAAAGCCAAAGCTGTAATGGTATTTCGGACTCGTGATGCAGCACAAGTGCGTGTGATGCATATATCGGAAATGCATATGGATGCAGAAGCCATGGCATCCATGCGGGAAATGGCGAATGTTAGTATTTGCGACCAAGAATCCGAACATTTCTCGTTTCTATCCTTGCTGTTAGACAAGTCACAAAAACGAAAAGCTTCTTGCCTGTATTGTGATAGCGTGAAATGGTCTACGAGGCGGGCACATCGACAAAATATGCCTCCCAATGGATGGCTAGTGAATGCTGAGGAGAACGAATGCGCGTGCTCAATGCACGTTAAGTTTGGAATATGTTCTCACATAGTGGTGGCTAGATCGGTCCTCGGGATTGGAAATAACGTTGGCTTTGGGGAAAAACTTATGTGTAGACGAGCAAGAAAGAAGCTGAGAAAAAGCCAAGGTGACACTGTGGCTTCTGTATCGGATCGGAGCAATTTGGGAGTCACCATTGACGCTGAGGCTCAGTTTCGTGCGTTCCGACATAGGCAAGAGCACTTGTGACATGTTCACGAGTTGGATAGAGAGTCTTTCGAGGATGGTAGTGTTCGAATGTTACCCTCGACGCAAATTGACCAGGGCTTTTACGGGCATATTCACAACACCACAAACCGCAACAACTCTTACGATCGAGTTATCGCCAGTGAAAATTGGAATGGAAACAATGAATGGCTGAATGCATGGAGTCCAGGGTTTATATATCCACTGACTTCGACGAATGTATCGACTAGTTATAGAAATTTCGTGCCTGGTCCTGCACAAGACGGCTTTGCGATGCAGCTACACCCAGGACCGAACCAGCCAAACTTGCATCACGAAATCAGTCAACAGTTCAGCTACACCCCTGCTTCCTATATGTCGACAGCAACTGAAAACGAGAGAAGTACCGATTTTGCCACAAGGTGTATGGAGCAAGACTCCGAGAACGTGTTTGGTCCTGGTAGACCTGTGGAGTGGACTCGCAGTACAGATGACACTTTGTTTGGTACGCCGTCATCCCGCCAAGTAGGAAGACCTCCGTTATCATCCCGCGCACTTCAGATGCAAGCCCTGCTGAACTAATACGACTAAACCATTGCTGTTGTTATTCTCATTATTTTATTATCAATACAGAACCTTTATTGCAAAACCCACTGCCAGTTCACAATAAGTCGGGCGAGCTAATGTGAAACCCACTGCCAGTTCACAATAAGTCGCGCGAGCTAATGTGAAACCCACTGCCAGTTCACAATAAGTCGCGCGAGTTAATGTGAAACCCACTGCCAGTTCACAATAAGTCGCGCGAGTTAATGTGAAACCCACTGCCAGTTCACAATAAGTCCCGCGAGTTAATGTGAAAGGATTGGGATTGAAAAACGAGTGGTCACAATTCAACAGACGCAGAATATGTCGAGGCGTGTGTGTACGCAGCGCACAGAGCGGAAGAAGTTTCAGCTGCTGCGGCAATGGCAATCTCACCCGGAATGGACTCTCCGTGACGCCTCTCATGAACTGGGAGTCTACGATAGCACCCTCCGAGGTTGGAAGGAACAGTACTGGCACCGACTGGACGAGGAATGCGGTTCACATCGAAAGCGAAGGAAAGGAGGAGGGCGGAAGTACAAAACGAAGCCCTACGAGGGGAGGATTATCGATTACTTTGATAATATGCGTGCAAGTGGCAGAGACACCTTCTCGGAGATGTTGCATTATTGCAGAAACATTGAAGAATTTACGGCAGATATAACCAATCCCAACTCTCAAAACACATGGGTCCGTCGGTTTATCGAACGATATTCAAAGCCAGGGCCAGCGGACGTTGTGGTGGTGGTTCCTGGTGTACCAGAACATTTGCAGGACGCCCAGAACAACCCGAGCCCGCCTGAAGCGTCGCAGGACGTATCCGCATCACCCCAGGACGTCCAGGACGCCTAGGTCGCTTCGCAGGACGTATCCGCGTCTCCACAGGACGTCCAGGACGCCCAGGACGCGTCGCAGGAAGAATTTTACATGCCCCAGGACGTGCAGGATGCCTTGCAGGACGCCCAAGAGGTTTCCAATGTTTTTCAGGGCAAGACTATAGGCGGTCAGCACTTGCCAGGCGTTTCTCAGTGTCTACAAGACGCCATGCAGAACGTACAGGAGGCTATACAGGTCGGGCTGGATGTCCCCGATGGTATCCAGAGTGATGACGATGATCATTACCACGTAGGTATGTTGGTTTCACTTTTCTCCAAGGACACTACATATAAGGCTGCATTGCTGTGCAAGAACTTTTGGCTTTTCTACTTTTTGAAAGCTCCGAAGGTTACTGCGTACGAGCTTCGGAAAATGCAGAAGGAAGCAATTGTATCGCCCAACAAGTTGGTACAAATTTTACCTTGGTCTGTCATTAGGCAGTGCCAAAAAGCTATATCCTCGTTTCAAAACAAACGCGAAGGCGTCGG